GTTTTATTTAAGAAAGGACTTGTGTCGCTAAAGTTTCGTCGGAACAAAATTTGCGCGAAATTAACTAACGACCAGAGACGTAACAAATTGGTGTCAGAGAGTGGGACAGAAAATAAAAAAAAGAAGAAGAAGATGGAAACGAGAGGCGGCAAATCAAACTACAGCTTAGCAGATTTGATGGCAGCAATAGAAGAACAGCAAAAGAAACAAGAAGATAAATTACAGCAGTTGTTGGAAGAAAAGAAAAGAAACGAGAAGAGAGATTACAGCAGTTGTTGGAGGGAAAGAAAAGAAACAAGAAGAGAGATTACAACAGCTATTGGAGGTGAAAGAACATAAACAAGAAGAGGGACTACAGTAGTGGCAACTGGAACAAGAAAGGAAAAAGAAGTACAAATGGAAAACATTATTAAATTTTAAAGCGAATTAGATACATTAAGGGATGATTTATTGTATTTTACACAAAGAGGATACATTAACCATCGACTTAATCAACCCCAGACAATGGCAAGCCCCTTCCAGACCCCGCAGCTAAACCCTAATGCAGACATCTTCAGTCCTGTTAGAAGTCACATCCCAGATATGAATGTCAGCAATAGGGGTGATCCAGTACGAAGGAAGCCACAGGAATTCGATGGGAAGGCACCGTGGGAAGCATATAGAGCACAATTTGAGCTACTGGCAGAAATGAATGGGTGGACAGAGGAGCAGAAAGCAGTATATTATATCTGGCAACGAGCTTGAAGGGACAACCACTGGAAATACTTGGACAGTTGTCAGCAGACGACAGACACAACTATAGAGCACTGGTAGCGGCTCTAGAACTGAGGTACGGAACCCAAAATCAGTCAGAAGTCTACAGGGCTAGGTTTAGGACGAGAGTCCGTGCTAAAGGGGAGAGCCTGCAAGAGCTGGCACAGGACTTGGAAAACATGGCACACAAGGCCTAACCAACTGCACCACCCGATCTCCTCAAGTTGTTGCTGAGGGATCAGTTCATAGACACTCCACAACTAAAGATACAAGTGAAGCAAGCACACCCCTCTACCATGCAGGATGCAATGGCTACAGCTCTTGAATCTGAATCCTACGTTAAGTCCAGCACAGAGGTACCAAGGTTGGTACAGTCATCTGGATTCAAGGCCAGAAAACCTTCAGTCACTTTGACTTCAGCTCGATGACACCTAGTTATTTCAACCTTTCTTCTAACAGTTACCGGAATTTGGTCCCAAACGGCATTTTATCAAAATTAATTACAAACTTCCTCGGTATATGCATTCGTCTTCAATGTCAGCCAAGTATATATTGTGTCTGTTCTTTATTCCCATGAGCTCAATAGTTACCCACACTGGTCCCCATAATCTTGCAGAATGTCCTGTCACACCATAAAGCTTCTGTATGGCTTCTGGTACTCTTTTGTGATCCAGCATCTTGATACTCACAAAGGTTTGCTGAGATGCAGAATCTATGACAAAGTTGCACTTTTGGCCATCCAGGTTTCCTGTCACGTAGACACTATGTGTGCTTGGCATTTTACACTTAGATGTTGGGACTTTCACAACTGGGGTTGGTAGGCGTCCATCAACATGAACCACTACTGGTTTCCTTAAGGCTGACTTATTGGTGGTATTCTTCTTACACTGGCGCCTCACATGTCCTTGCTCTCCACAGTTCCAACAGCCTTTCTGGGTAGCAGCCTTTCCTGCTGTGGCATTTCCCCCGTGTTGAAGTTGACGGCATTGGGCTCTCTTGTGCCCAGATTTATTACAGTGCCAGCAAAGTCCCTCAAACTTCTCTGAAAGCTGACCTGCAGGTAGTATGAAGAAGTAAAACACTGTTGTTACTAGACTTTCAAGTTTTATTCTTATTCTTCAAAGGTTTTCAAACTATGTAAGATAATTATAGCTATGAAAGGTTTATATTTTGCAAAATAAATTGATGTTATTCTAATTTTTAAGTTGTTTGACCTAACATTTACGTTACTTGAAGGATATCCAAAGTACTAAGTTTTTACTTTGGCTAAATATGTGTTTGCCTAATAAACAAAAATCAGTTATTACTATTCATTTCCTTTCATTTGTTACAATGCACATGGGTAACTGTGTTATTATAGATATAACACTTAAGGTCCCAACACTGTCATAAAAACATGCTTATAAATAATAATGAATTTTCTGGAATAACAGGTCTGGAAAATGAAAATATTATAGATTTAATATATTTTCAAAAAAGGTAAAACTGAAAATATAATCTGTGATATAAACCCGAAGGTGGGGTCAATACACAACAGAAATACAATAAGGCCTCATATAATAGTGGTGTGTGTATATAATATTTGTGGAGCTTATTATTTTCCCATACTGAAAATATGTTACCGATACGTACCTACCTTCTCTCACATGTATCGCTATTCTTCTTCAGTGTTGCCCTCTATATGCAAAAATTTTTTTGCATGCCACAAGCCTTGAACTCCCACATATTCCACGATCAAAATGATTCAAACACATCTCGAATGAAAATCACCGTGGGACAGCTCTCCACCAACAGGAGTGTAACTCATCCTCGTGATGCATGTGACTCCCTCTATTCGATTCTGCTGAACTATCACTTCGCTATTAGACACAAACGAAAGCACCAATTTTCAATGGGGAGGAAGGGTGGGAAGTATGAGAGGGGTAAGTACCTATCAGAAATATATTTTAAATATAGAAAAATAATAACTTCTCATACAATACATTACCTCATCTCACATGTATAGCTAGAATCCCACATTGAATAACGAGAGGTACCGATGCAAGTGATAGAAATAAGTATTCCTTGACGAATATACATGGTAGACCACACCATTTCTGTACCAGGTATACTCTATGCCCAGTGTGGAAATAGGTGTCACATATGGAGGCAGAAAGTGGGAGGAGCACAACCAAAAGGGAGAGAAAAACTGGGTGGGTTCAAATTCAAACCATAATACACAGTGAAGAAAGACTAGAAAAACCATCTACAGACAGGAATTGGGGAATGCTAAAATGGATGTGCTCGAAGGTGTAGAGTGGCTAGGGTGCAACGGCTATATGTGGCTGGTAAACTCCAGTCCAAAACCAAGCAATATCAGGAACAGAACCTCCAACTCATGGTAGGAGGAGGGTCAACACAGTCTTCACCTCATGTTGAATAGAATTACATACTATCAAACCAATCTACTAAATGAGGCATGTGTACAAGTCCACAACCAACCATACATCCGGGAACCCAACATTTGAATGAAGGTATGAAGAGATGCGCCAATGTGGTGGTTCACATCAAACCAAATCCAATCTGACTAGAGCCCCTCAGTGCAACAGCAGCCTCAAGCAGGGTAAAACAGGTGAGACAGATCGATGACAGGACTCCAGTCCCCAGTCTTTTTGGGAACAACAAACAGACAGGAGTGAAACATCAGTGAATGGTTTGGAACAGGTTCCATAGCCTGGTGGGTGATAAGGAGCAGTAAACAGGTTCTCGATAAAACAGCATCACGACCTAAAAGGTTCCAACAACAGATAAACCACGTTTATAAAGCCAGAGCCAAAGATAACAAATGAGCCAACGTGGAGGCAAGGAGAGAGAGGATGTTCCCAGAAAATCCCTCAGGATTTCTGTGAACAGCCTCAGACAGGAGATGGGTTGTGGAAATGTACTGCAAAAGAGTCATGAAGGTTAGATGAAGGTGAGAAAATTGGGCATGGATGAGACTAATGGGAGATTCGGGGCCTGCCCCCCAAACAGGTAAAACCTAACCCAACAGTTGTTGGTTGAGATATGGACAGTCAGCCCTATGATATGCGAGGGCAGAATGATCCGAAGACCATGGGAGACAAGGCATACTAACGCCATCACCCAATTGAAAGGTGAATATGAACCCAAATGTCAGGGCACGAGGAAAGCCAAATAGGGTTGGAAAATACATTCATCCAAGAATCAAGGACGTGGATCATAAGATATGGGAGAAATGGATAAAACATCACGTACCTGAGAAATAAAGTCAGAAAAAACTGTGGAAGGCCAAACAGAATCCTCGGGAAGGGTATGGAAAGGCACAGCTGATTCCAGAGGTGGAAACAGGCAATCAAAGTCGTCATCAGCTGTCCAGGTTCCACAGGTTCAGGAGGAAGTAGGGCATTGTCTGGAGATAGAGGTTGACCCATATAACGTTCTATCTCCCTGCGAATAAACACAGATAAATCTCCCGACAGGTCATCAGCACCTGAACTCTGTGGTAAAGACCCTGTCGAATGTGAGATACCCTAATTGGTGACATTAACTTCGGAATTAATATTGTATCAGTCGACAGTACCATTTGAAGTAAGAAATAAATGTGACTAGAACAAGGGTAATTGAACCTGAATGCTTTAAAAAAAAACTGAACTAATTTTGAGAACTAATTCAATCATAAACACTAATCAAGATGAAAAAAGAAAGACATCTGAGTGCAAGCACTGCCAAACTAAAAGTGATAGTTTGGTAGAGGCGCATAGAGGGAGTCACATGAGTGTACTATTCTCCTATTGGTGGAGAAGTGGCGCATGATGATTTGCATGAGAGACACGTTGGAATCATTTGATTCTAATCGGGGTGGTGGAAGGCTTGTGGCATGCGTAATAAAAAAGTTTGCAGGAATGAATTCATGATGGGGAAACCGAGGTTTAATAATGAAGATGAAGATGGTTGATAAAACAGTTTTCATCTTCATTATTAAAAAAGTTTGCATATAGAGGGCAGTAATGAACAGGAATAGCTAATCTTGTGAGCAGAGTATATTCATGTTAAATATGTTACCCTTTACATCATGGCTCACATCTGTGGTGATATGACAGTATATTGTTCTCACAAAGTGCAGTTAACCATCCACAGACACTTGTAACATTTTTAAGGAATGAGAAGGTTTAGATGTAAACACTTACCACAGCAATAGACACTTGTAGCATTTCCTCAAACAAAGAATCTTCTTGTTTGTGACGACCACTGGTGTCAACTATTATAATTTCAAACCCCTCATTTTTAAACTTTTCTACTCCATCCTGAGCTATAACAACTGGATCTACCTCTGTATAACTGAGACAAAAATACAAAATGAACATATAGATTTTATGTAGATCACTTCTAGTCGCAAACTAATCAGCCAACATGAAATTCCTATGTCTGATGAATATCAAATTAAGAACTGAACACATCTAGAGGAAACATTATTTGCATAAGAATAAAAAAGTCATAACAAGTCACATATTGTGTTTTACTAATAAAATAACACATATCAAAGAGGGGCAGATCTAGGATTTTCTTAAAGAGGGGAGTTCCAAAACTTGTTAACTTATAATTGCTATTATAAGATGATAGTAAAACAACCATTCACCAGTTTTATTTAATTTTGTCACAAAGATAGTGATATCTTCATGTCATTAATAAAACAAAAATATCAATGCATTTTACATTTATTTCAACTAAATGATTTGTTAAACAAAAAATAACTGGTACATTGAAACATATATGAGCACAAAATCACATGAATTAAGACATATTAAATCCCATTAATGGTGAGAGAAAATCAAATCAATATTTATAAAGATCTTTCATAGATTTTAACACAATGATTTTGTGAATCATATTTACATAATCCATTATATATATATACAAAAAAGCACCCAAAGAATTTGTGCTTATTAATAAATATTTGGCATATTACTTCTAAATCAATGTTCATCACATTATTCATACTTAATAGGGTGAATCCAGCAAGTCGTTCTTCACCCGTGCTGCTTCTTAGGAATGTCTTGACTCTATGTAGTTTGATGTCCTTCCCTTTCCAATATTTCTTCCATTCCTTTACTTCTGCTCATAGTGATGATGGCTGAGGCAAGTCTTGGTCCCAGAACATAAGCCCATCGACTATTTGCTGCAAAAGACTGTCCTCGGTATCTGCAATTACTTCAGGAAGGAGAGCAAGAATTTCTTCATCATGTTGACTTTCTGTGTTAAATTGATGTTTCATCTCTGTACATAAATGGTCACAGAAAGGGATGGCAGCATTTCTCAGGTAATATTTCTTGACAAAAATGCTTGGTGTATTTGAATAATGGATTTTCCTGATAGATTTTGGTGTCCTTGGCAATGAAATATTAGTGCCAACCAGTGTTCCCAGTCACACTGCATCATCAAACCATACACTAAATGCGTCATTTCTCAATGTAATTATTTGCTCAAGTGTTTGGTCTATCATTTTGTAAGCGTGATGGATATCTAGGTCAAGTTTCATAACACATATGACGTACTACCCACCTGGTTTTACACATCCCTACCAACTTTTTTTTTTTTTTTTTACATCTGGAGCCAAATATTCTAGACATCATTCAAGAAATCTAAATCTGTCATTGACAATACTAAAAATGTTCCAGAATAGTAACGAAAAATGAACTTACTTGGGACTCAGAAAGGACATTATTTCCTTACAAATTATTAAAATAAGAAAAAGAAATCTTGTGTAGGTCCCAATTACATTAATTCTTCTTAACTATTCTTAAAACTGTTAACAGCAAACAGAATAAAAAAACTATAAAAACCTCATTCATGTCTTCACAATAGGCCAGGAATAATCATAAATATATGAGTGTTACAAACATGTACATGAAACTTAGCAATAACAATATGCTCATCTCTTTATAGAAGTCTGCTTATTAAAATAAGCCCAACCTTACCTTCCATAAAAGGGAATCCTTGCTTTTGTAGCATTCTGTTTTAACTGATCAAAGGCACCAGCTCGAAATGTGTCAGCACACACCAGACTTGTCTTCCAACCTTTCTTCTGATAGTAGTATGCTAGCTGTTACAATGAAAATTGTTGGTAATTATTTTCATTCATAATCTTTATTTTAATTTCTTTTTTTGAAAAAGGTATATTAGCTATTTTACAAAATAAAATGTGTATTTTTCATTTAACAATTCACAAAAAATTTCACTTGGTCTTCAAATATGAACAATCTATCCTTAACAGCAGAACAGTATTCAGCTATTTCAATTTCAAAGAATTTGTAATGGTAGTGATTTATTTCTGGTACTCAACAGAAAAGTTATCATTTTCCTAATCTGAAAATGTATTTCCAAACATACTTACCTCGATCCTCCAGAATTACCCGTTGGAGTCAATGACAATAAACTGTAGATATGCCGTATAAAATTGGGCTTTGAAAGTTTCAGGGACTCCAACAAACTAGTATGGCCGAGAAAGGGACGACTCCCGGAAATCACGAAGAGGAGTACCAGAATACAGTAGTAAGAGTTAAATGAATCTATTGAGTGTCCAAATATACTAAAGCCAGGGCATGTTGTTCTGATAAACGAGAGGAGCAAGGCATAGCAATACTCTCTTGTAATTGCATTGCAAATATCCCAGCATACACAACAATATCAGGAGAAGTAGGAAAAAAGTAAATAATCCCCCCCCCCCGCCCTCAAGATCTATCTGACAACAAGGCAGGGTAGACTCAAAAGCTTCACAAACTTTCATAACTAACTGCAGAAAAGAAGTAGAAGTTGGCTGATCAGATGAGCCCACAGTAGAGGCAGCTCTAGTGAAAGAAGGAGCAGAAAACAGTATCTAAATTCTCCCCAGTATATTCAGGCTCATGAGGAAAAGTCAACTCTGAAACCCCAGGGAAAAAGACCCCAGGCTACATGAAGGACTCCAACTCATCTCGATTCAGGTCACGGACAGCCTTCATTGAGAGTGCCCCCGACTGCCAACTACCACCAGACAACAAAGGAAGAATGGACGAGGTCTGGTTAACCCCCGTGCCAGAAACCATTATAGAGGAATTCATAACCGCATTTTTTTTTTTTAAACCGCAAAAGAAAACCAACAAAATATTGGCAATGGGGAAAAAAAACACCACCACCAGACTACTGTCAAAATGTTTTAAAAGAAAATGTCAACCACAAATCACAACTCCTAGCACTAGTGCTTTATCAAGAAAAAGTGATTATATTGTCAGCATACAGTGCTTATATACAGTACCTGCATAGAAGGCATGCGAGGGCCGGTATAAAGTTTTGTAAATTAGATATTTACGATGGCTGTCCAGTGGGGTATAAAGACTGGAGCATGCAAACACGATGTTTAGATGAAAAAGATGAAGATTGAGAAATAGCTATAGCTATGAGTGTCAGCAGAGGTATGTATGTTTTTGAATCTAAATACTAACATAAGAAATGGACGAAGTGTTAACATTAAAGTACAGACTAAAGGTATTTGTAATTGGTATTAGTTTACTCCTGGAACAAAACAGCAACTATAGATACCTTTGTAAAAAATGGACGAAGTGTTCACATTAAAGTACAGACTAAAGGTATTTGTAATTGGTATTAGTTTACTCCTGGAACAAAACAGCAACTATAGATACCTTTGTAAAAAATGGACGAAGTGTTCACATTAGAGTACAGACTAAAGGTATTTGTAATTGGTATTAGTTTACTCCTGGAACAAAACAGCAACTATAGATACCTTTGTAAAAAATGGACGAAGTGCTTACATAAAACTACAGACTAAAGGTATTTGTAATTGGTATTAGTTTACTCCTGGAACAAAACAGCAACTATAGATACCTTTGTAAAAAATGGACGAAGTGCTTACATAAAACTACAGGATAAATGCATTTCTATTTCAAGGTATTTGTAATGGGAATAGTTTTCACAAAACAGGGCTATGGTTACTTTTATAAGAAATGGATGAAAAATTCACATTAAAGTACAGACTAAAGGTCAAGAATATCCTACAATTTTTTTCAAAATATTCATTATTTTACATACATTTTGGTATAAAGCAACTTCTACATGGAGAGTACATATTTCAAACATTGTCACAAGGTTAGATGTGCATGCAGGAATAAAGTTTTCCACATTTACTCATGTTTTCACCAAGTAGTGAAAGTTGTAAATTAATGTGACAAAATAATATGCTTGGTTGAACCACCTTGTCCAGGTGAATTGTCAGTTAAAAGATACATTCTAATATATCTTTTTTTTTCCTATGGATGAAACACACTTATAAACATTGGATGAAAAAAATTAAAAGATTACTTCATATATAAATCAACTAAAACTTGAAAAAAATGTTATACCTTGGTACATGTGGTAGTTTTACCACTCCCCTGTAGACCAACAAACATGATAATGTTGGACTTGCCTTTGGTAGGTTGATAAGCCTTGACACCAGGATCAACAAGCTAATAAGAAGAACATCAAAATTTCCTCTGTAAATAAGTTACAAATTCACCTGATTTATTCTTTTACTTTGGTTATATAAAAATGTATCAAAATATTTTAAAACATAAATCCTGATTTTATGAAATTTAAATTTTTCATACATTTTTGGAGCTAAATGATCAGGTAAGAGACCTAAGGTTAAGGTATAGTGGTCTCTAATTTAGAACTGCAATTCAGAGGGAAGAAAACCAGGAGCTATTACATATACATGGCTACTCTAAATACAACAGAGGATGGATTGTCACTTTTATAGTGTGCTTAACTATAAGTTTTATAATGTGCCCGACTGTCACTTTGCTGAAGAATATAATTTATCTAAAAAGTGTTAATAAACTTCATCTACCCATTTTTAAAACATGTTTCTGAAAGGCTTTACAATCTGTTAGAGCAGGTCTTCATCTGCATTAGATGAACATAGTACACTTGAATCTTAGCTTTTTACACATACTAAATCACAAAGAATTATAATCAGGTGTGAACTCAGAATGTTCACACAAATCAGTTATCTGTCAACAGTAAGATTTACATGTATGAAAGCACAAAGAATTATAATCAGGTGTGAACACACGTCAGATATCTGTCAACAGTAACATTTATCAGTTTTTATTTTTAATATGTGAGATATTTAGGTTAAACGGATAACTGATCAGAACAAAATCCAGATTAATAGAGCAAGGCCCTGCCCAGTACCTCTTGTAAAAAATTATTTGGTACCATCATCATTATTCCCCCCAAAATCCCGAACAATTATGCTATATCAGTAACCACATCAATAACTGCAAAGCAATATTATAAATTAAGTTATAAAAAAAAAAATGTGAGAAAATTTTAATTAGCTGACTTGTATATTTAACACTCAATGACAAACTCTTTTCTCTCTCTCTCCTATATTTGAGTATGCCCATTTTTCAGTTTCAGAAAAACATGATAAGTAATACATTTTTTGTAAAAATTTAATTATTTGGTAAAATTTTACTTTTTTTACATAGAAAAAACATTCAATGATTGCAAAAGTTGTCCATAATGTGATTTTGCAGATATTAACTTTTAAACTAAAACCTATTAATTCACTTACAGATTCAAATTTTGTATCTTTTCATTCACTTTTTACCACTATGTTAAGCAAATAATCAATTTAAGCTACATACCACGATAAAAGAGCCACTCCAAACATTGTAGTAAATTTGGAAGTAACAAAAATGTTTTAACTGATACATAATATACCACAGTCTCACCTTTATTAGTTCCTTAAAAACTGCTGACTGTATTATTCTTCGTTTATTCAATCCCCCAGCCATGTCATCAAAATCAATGACTGATCTGGAAAGTTATAAACCTAAAAACTCAATCAATAATCCTACAAAAAAAAAAACATTACAACAACTTGTTTTTTTTTTTGTTTGTTTATTTCTGTGGCATTTTTTCTGCTGCTGAAATCATACACATTCAAAGTTATAAGTTAACAGCCATGAACAGTATAATACTTGACAAAAGTATACTTGGAATAAAGCCAGAAGATTTAATAAACTGAATTACAAATGTTATTCTTAATATCTTTCTGTCTATCTGTACATACCTATATACATACTGGAATTATTAAAGAATTTTGTATCACAACATTTGATACTTTTTAATAAGGGAAAAAAACATTAAGCATGATATACTCAAACTCTATAAAAGTTATGTAGCAAACTGAATTTGTTTTTACAAAATATTATTTACTTATTTATATTTGACATTTATATAAGACCGGATCATCTTATTCAAGTATTAATGTAAATACAGTTTTTATGAAGATTATCATATTAAGGCATCAAATTTTATAAAAAGTTTATTTCAAGATTTACTTTTCGGAAATTGAGAAAACTACAATTAATATTATAAAAACTTGTACATTATTAAGCAGTAAATAAAGTGCTTACCAAGTAAAAAACCCTGAATTGGTACTCTGAATATCTTATAATACAGAGGCAAGCACAATGTATGTAATAAATATGTTTTAAATATGGATGTAATGATACAAAACATTTGAACAGAAAAACAGTCAGATCAAATAGTTAAATTATTGAAATTTTGTCAGCATCTTTATGATTCAATTGTTAACTTATGGAATTTGTAAACTTTGTATATTTCCTAATACAATAGCAAATACAATGTCTATGTAATTAGCATATATTTTAAAAAAGTATTTGTAATGATGGACAAGATTTAAGCAATAAATTACAGAAATTTATATATAAAAAAAAAATAGAACTCACCGTACATTTTCCCTCAACTGTTTCACTAGTTTAATGTTAACATCACCCTCCAGAAGAGCTGCACATATTTCCTTTAACATTGAATCTAACACCTGGAAAAACAAAAGAGCAAACTATAATTTCTTCCCATTGTTTATAGTAACCAACTACAGTTTTTATTTCTATGAAAAATAATGATAGATAGTTTATATGTTAGCCATAAACAAGGTCAATAGGTAGATTATTTTTATATTACAAAAACAGACAAAAAACAACTAAAAAAAAAGACAAGCATAAAAATACACTCAGTGACCTTATGACCTCAAAGGTATTCCCAGATAAAACAAACTTTATTTCTTGCATCACTGAATAGATGTAAAAAATAAAACAAAGTTATATACAAGAATAGTCTAATTTACATTTACAATACTATACCTTTTGCCTCATTATGGTCACATAGTTTCTTAACCTCCGGCTCCCATATTTCAACATCTTAACTTGTATTGCTCAGATAATTTTATGAGTCACAAAGTACTGTTTTCCATTAAACACTAATTTGAAATCTAAAAATTGTGGATTTAGCTTTAAGGTAAATGTGTAAACAGTGATGAAATTCTAGAATTCTTTCACTTTTTTAATAGTAAATTTTTATTTCCAGAAATTATAAAGTAACTAGTCAAAATATTCAAATAGATAGAATCTAGGTTAAAGTCTCTTATAATCATAGTGGTCAAATATGCTAAAATAACTTTCAATACTAATCTTATTTGCATATGCAAAATTATGCCATTTTGTTTCCACCAAACTTGTTGACCTAAAATTGGCATCAAAAAATTCCTTTTTTCTATGTATTCCAATGAGATGCTACTTGAATACTAACTCTGATACACACTTTTCAGCACTAACATTACCAGTCCTTTTTGCTGTAACAGAAATTCTAATAACTGTGGCATATCTTTCTACAGTTACATCAACAAAAATAGATGCACAAAAAATATATATTAACCCTTTGACAGCTGATTCATCGTATAGAGTACAGTCCACCTCCAACAATTGAATGCAAGTATGTTGTATGCAAAAATTCTGCATTAAAATAAAAGCTCATAGAAATTCATGAGACTGAAGAAGTAAAACAATCACATTCACAGCTAACAAGTTCTGGTATTGAACGAGACTTCCTTGGCACTGACTTGTGACAGACAAAAAATAAATTTCAAAGCTATTTTTCCTTGTTTCTAATTTCAAATCTATTATGTGCTTTTTAACAGTATTATCAGGCTTATTAGTTTAATTCTTCACCAGTTTTTAATGTTTAAAACTGTAAAATTAAATGTTTTGTACTGTGTATATAAAACAGCATTTTGAAGTCTTTTAAACATGTCAAGCCCCAATGATGAGTTCTGATATTGAATGAAAAACTTCCTGGAAAGTGACAGAAAACAATAGACTCAAAAATGTTATTTTATGTATCTCTTATTTGAAATCTGCAGTAGACTAATTACAACATATGTAAAAACATGTTGGCATCTGCAGTCTGTTGTGATTTTTAACACTGTTGTTAGGCCTATTAGTTTCATTGTTTCACTTACTTTTGGTGACTAAAATAATTAACATTAAATACATAACTTCATTCATATTTCTTGTGATAAAACCAATAGTAATCTTCACAAGGAAGGTTATGCTCCTTAATAACCAATATGAGGTTAAATGGCCTTTTCCAAAGTGTTTTTCATATATTTCATAATTTTCTAAAAAATGTAACATGATATCAACTGGAATTCCAAGTACTCATACAATACATCATTCCAATCATACAATTCACTTAAAAGTTTAATATAATTATATTTATGCGATACTTATTTTCTGGAACATATGCATAAGTTTGCATTTAAGAAAAAATACTAAAAATGTATTAGAAAATGCCATATGCCATAATTTGGCATGTATAAAAGCCAAACAAGCATGTTATTGCCCATATGGATCACTTAAATAGCATTACGCATCAACATGTTGTATGTCACTATATCACTCCAACTGTCCCTGTACAATAATCAGAGATATTTACTAGACTGGTATATATATTTTTTCTACAAACAGGACAGTTGATCAACACTAATTGACACATTTCATATGTACAGCTGAGCAATTAATGGAATTTGATAATTGCTGAATCATGAGACTTATTAACTGATTACAATCAACTAATCATTTATTCCCAAGAGATTTGGACAGTCAGAGTAATTGAAAATAATTATCAGAAACCCTAATGTCAATTAGTTTATTATTTACATTAGTTGTGACATAAATGATTTAAGTTTAACAGCCTTAAATTGAGTATTTTCAAAATCACCACTGAGTCACAACCAATGTATGAGAAAATATTAATGCTGTGTTAAAATGATTCACAAAATGGAAGGAAGGTGCCATGAATACACAACTGATCATACATTCTATTTTTGCAAACACTTTATCTAAAAAGAGGTGCAGAGAGGATGCTGTGGAATTGGCAACTACCACTTAAAAGACTCCAAGATGGAGATGAATTGTTGATTTCTTCATAGAAAACATTACAGCCATCTTTTAAATAAAATAAAACTGCCACACACACACAAAAAGTAACTATGTACTTGAATGTGACATGCGTGATGTGCTTGAAGTTTGGTTGGGAGACAAACAGCTGCTGTATTTTCAGCTGTTTTGATTTAATGCTTGAACTGGGCAAGTGGCAACACTGCAGCAATGATCTTCAGCTGGATACAGAAAGATTTAACATTAAATATCCCCTTGTAATATGATAACATAGCAAATCTTTAGACCCACATAAAAGAACTGGCAGGTTGAACTATTTTTCTGGCAATGACCAAACCCCCCCCCCCCCCAAAAAAAAAAAAAAAGATGACCAAGTGGCAGCCATGGGCAATGTGGCACCTTATAACATAATGAAAGTCCTGGAAAACATGAAGTGAATGTCAACAACAGACACCAAACAAACTGTGCCAGACGGCAGATAAAAACTTTAAAAGGATTGGCAGTAATTGTTGTACAAAACAATCGAGTGTCCCTTCATGTACTCATCCAACAATGATTATTCATGATGTTGAGTAACCCATTTGAAGTAAATTTATAGCAGAGATGGCTTATGTAGGTAATAAAAAAATTTTATTTAAAAACACAATACAAGTAACAATGTTTTAACCTGCTTAGGTCATCACCAGGCTCTTAATCTAAGTAGATTGAAATGTTGTTACTTGTATTGTGTTTAAAAAAAAATTGTTTTAATACCCATATCAGCCATCTCTGCTATAGACAAAGGTTTTGTAGTGAGGCTCTTTCCCCAGGAGAACTGCTCATGCAACAGTACTCACACATGCCTGAAAACTACTGAATGCAAGAATGAAGCTAGCACAAGAAAATTTACAATTTAAATGGTTCAAGTCAGGAAAGAAGATACCATGTCAGAATGAAATACTGAAAACAACTGCATTAACCTACTCATTGGAGACTACAGTGCAGTTTTACAGTTTGTGTACCTCAGAAGTGTCATCTCAAAGGACAGAGGCACAGACAAAGATATCAGCTCATGAGTCAACAAAACCAAATTTGCCTTCAATTCTATAGAACCTACATGGATCTTACCATCTCTCTTCCAGAAGATCAGTCATACTGGTGAACATCAATGTGGAATCAGTCCTCCTTTATAGCTCAGAAACATGGAGAGTCCCCAAGATTATCACAGCCATGATTCACACCTTTGTCAACAAGTCTCTTGAACATCCTGCACACTAGATGGCATGATGTCCTCCTCTCCAACACTGACCTATGGGAGCAGACACATCAGCTGCCTGTCCAAGAAGAAATTGTGAAAAGAAAATAGGGATGGATTGGTCACACATCCATCAGGAATCCTCATAGCAATGTGACAAAACAGGCACTGGAATGGAATCCAAAGGAAAAAAGGAAATAGGGGAGACCAAAAATGACCTGAAGGAGATACATCAATGAGAATATCAAGGCCACTGGACTCTAATGGACTCATCTAAGGAGGACAGCCCAAAGTTGAGTCTGATGGCCTGGAACAGTTGTGGCCCTACATTCCAACTGAAACTAAAAGGAATAAGTAAGTAAGTAAAGCTGTGGATATGAAAACATCATGATTATCTGACAGACATGAAGTCCCTATTGGATAAAGGTTAGTTAACTGACACCTTTATCAATGGGTTTCTTTTAACCAGAATATCAGCAAAGAATGTTACAAAGAATGATGTGGATGTATTTTTTTTCCACTCACTTGATGAAATCCATTGAAATGTGTGATTGTACAGATTTAAATGTGTATTACACAACACAAATATGGATGTGACGAGCAAGAATATTTGGATCACTCCATTGCAAATACGTGGGAATCATGGGGTATTATAATTATATCCATGAAATTAAAACTGATTCTTTATTTGGATTTAATGTGTGGTCTTTATAATAAGGTGATGTGGAGAATACAAAGTTTCATGACCGACTGGAAAATCCATGTGCCATACAGTACTTCATCTTAGATGGACACTTAGAACTGCAATCTTCATGTCTGTCTCTATGTACATATATTATGTAGTGGCTAAGCTGTGTCTTTCTCTAACAACATGACAACTGTGTATAGATAGATAGTCTGCGAACTACCCAATTATTCTAGAGTCACTGAAGATGTAACTTTCCCAAAACCAAAGAAAGATTTATATCAGCTACGTCAAAGTATGACTTCTATTGTCACTTCCAGAAACCCCCATGCTAGCTAGTAATCCACAGTGATATTCCTCTTAAATGCAATTTTAGAGTACTTTAACTCAATGTGATTCATATGCTTCATGGCTGTTAAATGTTTAAAATAACCTAAATACACAAAATGGTTCTTTTCTATGAGGAATGTCAAGACTGGTACCGCCTTGATGAATGAAAACCCGGATCAATCACACATGGTAAATATATATGTCAACAAACAAGATATTTATATAAGTAAACTATATGTGAAGACTTAATGTGTCTAAGTGTCTTCTATAATAATAATACAAGAACATACAAGTGGTTTTGCATCCCAAATGTCGTAAATTGTAATTCACTTATTAAACTAAATCAATACACACTATGCATCTTGTTATTGTAAGGGAAGGGGGAGGAATCAACTGTTATACATCATGCATCATTTAGTATTACTTAAATGCTTATCCAAGCAAATACATGTTATTATGGAGAGTTATGGTTTGTTTTTATATTAAAGAAAAAATATTAAAAGACTTTGAAATAATTATTTCTGACTAGGATAAAGAAAAACAAGTGTAACTGAATGATATACATTAAATGTGTCATTCAGTGTTAATTAACTGCTCTGTTTGAACACATATATGCTGCTCTGGAATATATTTTTCATTACAGAAATACTATAACAAATTGGGAATTAATTCTTTTCTTTCCAATGAGCCAAAATATATGGGGATCATTCTGTTTAATAAGGTTTTATGAGTCACCTTGTAAAACTTTCTGAAAATCCAGAAACACCAAATCCACATCTTCACCTACATAACCAGTAACACCCTGAAAGAATGTTAAAAGACTAGTAAAGCACAATTCCCCCTACTGAAACCATTTTGACTATCCAACAAAAATTTAAAACTTCAACTGACTTTGCAAAGCATCTTTAATCAGATTTTCAAAACCTTTTTCTACCACCGATGTAAAACTAATAGGCCTATAAAGTATAATCACTGAGAATATTATGATAACTTCCTTTAAAAAAAAAGAAGAGGAGTAACATTAGCAAACTTAAAACCCTCTAGCACCTGCTCACTATTCAATAAATAAGTTAACTAGGCACTAATGACAGCAACATTAGTGAGACTAAGAATAGAAAGGTGGCAATAAAAGCCATTGATTACTATTTCAACTCACTGGTAGCAGTCACTGCTATAGAAAAGCTATTGACACCTACATCAACAGTTTACATCATCTCCCCTCACTAACCCCAACAGTTCACGTGATTTGTCACAAAATGGACAATTTATATTATCATAATCCAATTGATATTAGTACCAGTGGCAGGGAAAAATATCAACAGATACACACTGGGACAGCCTTTTCATCTTTCAGGATACATAAAACTAGTCTAGATCATCTTAAAAAGAAATTCTTTATTTTTTGGTTGTAGATGTAATAATTAATAGCATGCATAATGCAGTTGTGGTAACACTTGTGTATATTTACTTCCAGGAGTTAAGCTTTATCATTGTTTTAACTGTTACCTTCTTAGCGGTATCAATAGCCACTTTCTTATAAATATAAGTGTCAATAGCCATTTCGATATAAATATGCACAGACAGAATCCCACTCCCCAAATAAAATAAAACTAGAAATACAGTAATAGTACTGCTTTTAGTATAATTTATAAATAATAGTAGTATTAGTAGTACAATTTGCTACTTAGTGTTCTGTATCTGTAGTCGCAGAGTAAATATAAAATTAGCTTATTATTACATTGTCGTAAGGAGCAATGAGTGGTCAGGCCACGTGTAGTGGGGAGGGGGTGAAAATTTAATGTTAATAAATTGCTACGAGATTGATTCTTAAGCCATTTTTACTACAATTACTGCATTAAAATAAGCAAGTTTAATACACGAGCTGTAACTATTCATGCCATGAAAAATTGGTCAGGCCATGGCCTGACCGCTTCCTATGGCTCTGTATTAATATTATTATTGAGACAAAATCACGAGTCGGTGTTAAGGCTTAACTTAAGTCTGCTGGAGTTTGGGTGGATTTCAAATTTTAACATTCTTTTATTTTTATTTTGAAATTTACCTCCTTGTTTATAATAGTTGCATTGCTCAGTGAACGCAACGCTGAGGTTATCTTTCTACCGAGGTCTGCTAAAACCATTTTTAAATTCGGAAAAATCCCAAAATATAAGAATATTGAAAACAAATCTTCAGTTTGTGCTGAAACACGTTGATGATGTAAGAGTTTTAATTGTTAAATGCTGCCCTCTGTAAAAATATTACCTGAAATATTGTATAATAAAGCTTTAAATTGTTTTAAATTCCTTTCGTGTGTTTTTTCTGAGGAGTAGGTTGAAAACTGATCAGCTGTGGTATAAATTTACAGTAGGATGTAAAGAGGAAGTAATTTTTAAAAACTGCTACAACTTTAAAATGCTTTATTTAAAATATGTAAAAAATCTAAATTTTTTGTGTTGCAAACCAAATTCGTCTTGTACGAATGCGAATATTATTCGTGACCAAATATATAATACTTAACTTTGTTATTTAATACTCCAGTTAGGCCAACAGTAAGTTTCTGGACCTAAAACCATAAAGACATGTAGGGTTCAACTCCTGTGGTGGACAAGGTGCATTGTGTAGCTTTGCGTTGAGTAACCAATCAACAATGCTATCTAATCCAACAAAAGAATAAAAGTTTGAAAAAGGTACAATAAAATGTGTGTTAGGACGGTGAATTAAATAAAATGCAGTAGTTGAAGCCGTCATGTGAGCAAAAATAATAATAGGAATAATAATAATGAGTGATAGTTATTTTTATGATGAAAAAGTTGACGAAGCATTATTATAATTAATCATACTTGTCATAAAGCATCATTATTAGGCCTATTATATTTCTACCATTAAATCCTTTATTCGGGACCTTAGGGTTTTTCAGGAAGAAGAAGAGTGTATAATGGTATTTCAACCGCACTTTATCTGCCAAATCTTTTGCCGACAACGCGTTTCGCTTAATACAGAACTCATCTAGACGCTGGGTCACAACAAACACACTAGTGATCGGAACACTATTTATATAAGCCGTTTGTTACAACAATGTTTTTTTTTTGTTGTTGTTGTTTATGGTGAATGCCTTTTCTAAGCTGGTAGAGTATTATCATAATTAATTATACTTGTTATAAAAAAATTTCATATGATTTCAAATATATAATATCATGATCTCCGAGTTAGTTCTCTCTGAAGCCTTCAGTTTGGTAAGCAAAATTATAAATCCTTTCTTTCTAAATAGTTTGTTTTATATTCAGCTGAAATTAATTCAATTTAGAGCTTCACTGTGTTATGTCTCTGGTCGTTGGTTAATTTTCCGTAGAAATTCTTTCCGAAAAACTTCAGTGATACAAGTCCTTTCTTAAATAAAACTATTTTATTCTTTCTCAATACAACTTTGGAATACACTTAATTTGCACAGTCACTTTAAATTAAACACATGCTATAATTGACAACGAACGATTCACGCACTTTACTTACTACTGCGCTTGACTCAATTGTCCGTCTCTATCTCTGCCTGTCTGCAATTATCTATTATATACCGTCACTACATTTGCCGGCTTATATATATAAAAAAAATAGAGGGCGCGTAGAGAAGACTAGAGTTGCCACGAACAGACATGATCCTTCTAGACTCTCATTACGTGTTACTAGTTCACGTGACTTCCGCTGTCGTAACACTGCCCCTTCCTTAGTATTGTTCGTCCCAAACAATAGCCACTTACATTAAACCAATAGATAATTAACAATAACTTAATTAAATGTACATAATATACAAACACAAAATTAAAATTCAACAAAGTCTCTTAATTTTACTGGACGTATCTTCTTCTGTACTGGTCTTTGTCTCGTTGGCTTCTGCTTCACGTAAAATTCATCTGCTCCATCAGGAAATGTCCTATTATCGGTAATAGTCACATCGGTGATAGTAACTTCATGAAGGGCTTCACTGTTTCCCTTCTCAAAACTGAGTAGAGTTTCTTCTTCAACAGTGGCCTTTTCAGGTGACACGTCTTCAGTGGCATCTTTTGTTCTGTTGTTCACTTCATCCCAACTGAAATGTCCTGGATCGTGATAACGCCAAAGTCTTGCCGACCACATTTTATCTGGAAGGTCACGTCTGAGAGACGATCCACTATGTCATATGGGCCTTCCCATGGAGAAGACAACTTAGGAGACTTCCCTTTGGTTTTCCTGGGATTATACAACCACACTTTGTCTCCTGGTACAAAGCTGACTTCAGTAGACTTGTTATCATAACATAGATTCATCGAATCAGCAGAAGTTTTCAAGTTTGAATGCACTTGATGGTGAATATTGTCCACCCTCTCCGATAACACTTTCACGAACTCTGACACATTTTCAGGCAACTCTTCGTAAGGTGGGCGTCCTGTTAACAGATCCACTGGCAACCGAAGTTCCTGACCAAACATCAACTTTGCTGGAGTGTATCCAGTGGCTTCATGCTCTGCTGTTCTATAGGCCATCGACAGTAAGACATTCCAGTCATCTCGGCAGCTATTACAAAACTTTGCCAATTCCTGTCCCAGTGTCCAGTTGTACTTTTCTACCATCCCACCAGACTGTGGATGAAGTGGCGTTGTCCTGGTCTTTCGGATGCCACACAACTTCTAGCATTCTTGGAACACAGCTGATTCGAAGTTACGGCCTTGATCTGAATGCAGTTCATATGGTATACCAAATCTGAAGAAGAAATCACTAATAGCCGAAGCTACAGTTGTACCATCCTGATTTGGTATTGCATATGCCTCAGGCCACTTGGTGAAATAATCCATCACCACACAAATGTACTTGTTTCCAGCACAAGTTTGGGGCAGAGGACCAGTAATGTCAATGGCTACTCTTTCCATTGGTGCGCCAACTTGATATAACTTCATTGGAGCACGTCACTTAAGCTTGGGTCCCCTTTTAGCACAACATGTACTGCACGTTCTGCACCATTCTTCCACATCTTGCCTCATACCTATCCAGTAAAATCTCTGTCGTAGGTGACTCAGTATCTTCTTAACTCCAAGATGTCCTCCTGTTAAACTATCATGGGATTGACGCAGCACAACTTCCCATAACTTTCTCTGTATAACCATTTGCCAGGTCGTCACTTTCCCATCTGCAGTTTCCCATCTCCTGAGAAAAATACCATCTTCAAACTTCAACTGGTCCCATTGTGACCAATAGTTCTTTGTCACAGGGCTTAGACTAGACACCTTCTCCCAAGCAGGGTGCAAAACACTTGCTTTTAGAAAATCAATTATTGGCTTCAAATCTTGGTCTTTCTCCTGCTCTGATTTAATATCTATACCTGGTTCCATTTCACCATCATCAACTTTAATGTTTCATTTTTACAATGGTATGGTACTAACTATTAGTGTCAGCGGAGGTATGTATGTTTTGGAAACAGATTTTTCATTTTCTGTCAACTACAGTTTGTTGCTGCTACCCTGGAAAAGATAAAACATGTGCCCTGTACTGTGAGATACAAAAATAGATGTGCCATTTTCTTTCAACTAGAGTTTATAATGACATAAATGTTTAGTAATTTAACAAAATAAATTTTATTTTTAAGAAGTTCCCCATAAGAAGATAATGTTTTAAAACAGATGCATTTAAGTAGATAAAATTTATTTACAATTTTTGTAACATTGTGAGAACTATTTTGGATATACAGAAAACTTCTCATTACCACTGAGTTTACACTTCTATAAAAAGTACTTCAATACTTCCAAATTTATTTTGCAATATATTTCAAGATTTATTAAACAAAAGGTCAACTTTAGTATTTCACTTGTTAATACATGAAAAGATAAAAAAAACACAAAAAATACAGAATATTGCTATCAGTAAAATAGATAAAAACTCAGGATAGGATGACAAAGATACAAAAAAATTCCACACTTATCACAGATTTGTAGACCAAACTTAGGATCAGATCTTTCTCTGATGTACTTGATTTTATGTTTGAACATTATTTTATGCTGATGATCATTTTGCTAATAATATATTTTTTTTTCACAAGCATAACTTGATTTGTTTTTACAAATGTTACTTACCTTATTTGTTTACAGTTTACAACAAACATGCAAAGACATCTTAAGTAAAATAACAGTCTTTTAGAACTTTGTATAAATTACTTCTCAAGAAGCTAGACAAACATATAACTGAAAACTTACGCACTAAGAGCTCCACCTCCTTTAGCATGTCCATCTAATTTTGTGACAATCACAGCTCCTACATCTACTTTCTCTTTAAAAGCTCGTGCCTGCAAATCACATTTAAATTAAGCAGTAACTAAAAAACAAACACAATTACTGGTAGTTACTATGTATAAGAAAAATTTTAGCAGGTTCATCACTACAAACATAAGTACTGAAGAAATATGATATGTTGTTTCAATCACAGATATATTGATTATCTATGGTGTTTAAATATCAATAATTATACTTAAACAAAACAGACACAATTTGGAACAATGAAAACATTTCTAGAAATTATAAAAGTGACTATCTTGTGAAAGAGGAATTTTTCTGCAGAAATCAAAATTAAGATCTCAGATTTTACATCTCCAGAAAAATTCTCATTAGGAACAATTAGCTTAGAATTAATCAGACAAAAAAAAAAAAACTGAACAAAATATCATTGGCCAGTTTTTATCTTGTTTTCCTGATTTTGTTAATCTTAAAATAGCAAGCTATGTTCAAGATGAAAACACTTCAAATTTTTCTTTTCCCTATGTTTTCAGGAAAAATTACACATTTTTAGAAATGCATACATGGGTGTATGATACAATCATAAATCCTTTCCTCATAATATTACCTAATTAACATCACTTTACCTTATAATCTGGTTAAAAAGGTAATGGAAAATTTACAAAAAACGTATTTCACACTACACACTACAAAAAAAGATCTTCAAATAGGAACTTAGCAACTTGATCTAACCTATCATCAAATATAATAAATTAGATAATTTTCACCAGATAAAATAGATTAAAGTGGCTGACAAAGATTGTGGTGAAATGTATCAATAACTGGGATAGTTATGCGTGGTATATGAACATATGCAAGTTTTGACATAAAATTGTGTGAGTGGATGGGGGCACAGTTTTCTTGCATTATTTTTTCAGGTTTGGTGATATTGATTTCTTTGTAAAACTCCATGATCTTTCCAGACTCAGCTATCCTGAATCTGTGGATTCAGTAAGTATCACATTCATGAAACTTTTTTTTTTCTTTTATGACACTAAAGTAATCATTTATGAATAATTTATGTAACTACTTGGAATACTTCAATAACATTTTAAATTTCTCATTTTCAAAATTAATAGCCTATTTCATTACATATTTTACTCACCAAACTATTCATATTTTTGAGACCTTAAAGCTCAGCACTCTAGAGAAATGCATGTTTACTTTTTGTGACATCTGATAAGTTTTCACCAGTTTCTCTCTTATTACCACTTTTTACAAACTCTATATAAATTATGCTTCTTTAGTTTTTAGCTAAAATATCCATAGAGTTTTATTCATCTGTCTTTCTCACAAAAAAATATTCTATACCACCTAAGTTATCAAGTGTCTTTGAACTTCTCAGAATTTTACATCTAGATTTACACTTTTTTACACTATTTACACTTAGAACAAGAATCACATATATTGAAAAACTGGAGTCTTTAAATATGATTCTTGTCTGTTGACAGAACAGCACAATAGTCACAATAAAAAGTCAATATAGAATATGTCGTACAAGAAAGAATCTCACCTGAACATCACAAGCCTGACCTATTGAAGCATCCATCACAAAGATGATGTTATCTGGGCTCTGTAGATAAAAAAACAAAAGAATATGTGTAAAAAAAATCATGTCTGATATTTAAACAATTTATTCTTTGTTGTTTACAAATATTTATGCAATAACCAAAACATACTAAAATTGTTTTTCCTTCTTGAGCTATCCACACTTTAAAAAGCTGATGCTAAAATTCTGTGATCACATCACAATACGAGCACATTGTAACTTTGATCAAACTACCAGGTTAATCATGTTGTAGCCCTTCCCAACCCAACTATGTGAAACTACTTCCAAAACTATTAGATCGCTCACTACAAAATAAATTACCAGGCATTTGCCCAAAAAAAAATTAATGTACTGAATAACAGAGTCGACAATGTACACTTAGATGTTGAAAAAATGGACAATTTGCTTGGTAGATAACGTTAATCAACCAGGACTGACGAAGATAATGGTAGCAGACTAACCATCACTTAACTACCAAGGAAGTTGTCTATTTTACCAATTTTCAACTGTCGTTTGTATTCTTTCAACTAGCCCTTAAGTAGAAATCATTTTACTAAAATATTGATTTGTGTGAAAAAATGAGAGAGAGAGAGAGATTATTGCACTATTTTAAAGCACTAAATAACCTAATTTCTATTTATTATTAATATTTGACAATGAAGATTCATGTCTCAGTTCTGGTAAAATAGAGATATACTTTGTTTGTTGTTAAGTGCAAAGCTGCACAACATTATAAGCCCTAAAATTTACTACTCAGCCATCAGGAAGTGAGAAAACTACACCAGCAATAAAAAAAATGTAAATCAACTTCTAATTTTAATCTATCAAATGTTATAACTGTTTCATTTCTCATCTTCCTCGTTTAAAATCAACATAGTCAAGATGCAAGCATCACAGTACTTGTAACACTTCTAAAGAGGGAGAGAGATGTCAAGATCCAAATGGTTAGCCCAGTTAGAGCTAGGCAAATCAATATGGTCAATTACCTATGAGCAGTGATTTTATCAACTAAGTGTCTCATAAACTAACCAACAAATGTCAAGAAAATAATCAAATAATCAAAATAACTTGTTCCAATTATTATGGTTTTTAATTATTTCAACAATCAATTAATAATCAACAAATAAAAATTAGGGTTTCTGATTAGTTGCTGTTTCAATTTATTACAATTATCCAAGTAATCAAAATAATGCATTATGTTTGTTTGTTGTTAAGTGCAGAGCTATATAATGAAAGGGGGGGGGGGGCTCATGATTTGAGGGCCACAGGTTCAATCATTATTGTCACTAAACTTACTCATCATGTCTTTGTTATTGTAAAGTTTTTTAATGCATCTACCACTGTCACTAATTTTGAATTGCTGACTAGATGGTAGGCAATAGGTTGGAAGCACCCATAAAAAATTCTCGGGCTACATCAATGTTAAATAAAGAGTAAATTTACTGTTTTTCTAATTGTATTATGTTTTTAATTTATAATTAAATAATTTTATTCTTTAATGCTGTATAAGTAAGTGTGGTCTAGGTGAGGTCTGAACCCTCCCTCTCATCCTTTTTTTTTCACCAGAAATTAATAACTGTATTCTTTAATGTTGTATAAACAAGTAAGGATCTAGGGGACAAGGGTCTACACCCCCCTCCATTTTCGGGAATGAATTAACCATATTCTTTAAATGTTATATAAAAAGGCATGGTGCTAAGAAGGAGGGGGTCAAACTCCATCACTCATTTCTTCAAAAATTAATAATTGTACTCTTGTATGTTGCATAAGTAGGCACAGATCTGAAGGTGAAGAAGGGCTAAACCCCCTTCATTATTTTCAGAAATCAATAGCAGTCAGAGGTCTTTACACTACAATATAATATCAAAAAGAAATATTAGATGCAGTGCTTTTCTTTGATTTGGCTGTTAATTACCATAAAGGATTTTTTTCATGTTTTTTAAAAATCAACACAGCTGGAATCCACAGCAATTCTGTTAAAGCCACAGTCAATAAGTGATTATTCCTAAACTAATACAACAATATGGTTTATTTGTTTGTTTGAAATTTCATGCAAAGCTACACAAGGACTATCTGTGCTATCCATCCCTAATTTAGCAGTGAAAGACCAGAGGGAAGGCATCTAGTCATCACCATCCACCACCAACTCTTGGGCTATTTTTTTACCAATGAATAGTGGGATTGACCATCACATTATAATGCCCCCACATTTTCTCTATCTTCATCTTTGCCATCTAACATTGTGTTTGCTTGCTCCAGTCTTTATATACCCCACTTGACTGCCCTCAGCAGTATCTAATTTGCAAAACTTTACACTGGCCCTCACACGCCCTCTATGCAGGTACTGTATATAAGCACTGTACGCAGACAATAAAATCACTTTTTCTCCACAAAGCGCAAGCATTTAGACAAAGTTTCGTGCTTTACATTATCTTAGTTTTTGCTTTCTAATAATCGGGAATTTTTTGTTTTGGTATCCAGAGATATATTTTTTGAATTTGTTTTTTCCTACAAATATATTACAAAAACAAAATTGGATATGACTTCTCGTGTAATGGTTTCAAGCATGGAGGCTACTCAGCCGTCATCTATTACTCCTTTGTTATCTAATGGTGGTCAGTAGTCGGGGGTCACTCTCTGTGGAAGCTGTCCGTGACCTAATTTGGAACGAGATGAAGTCCTTCATGCAGCCCAGGGGTATCTTTTTGGGAGGTGCTGATTTGAATTTTCATTCTCAAACGTGATATTATGGGGTTGGACCCTCTTATGAACACTGTAAGGTCTTGTGTTGTTTATGCAGGTGGTCCACTAGTTCCTCGTAAAGCTGAATGCAACGAAATCCCATCTTTGGTTCTTGGTGGAACAGTGTTCCACATCCTCTCCATAATTCCATGGGTAAGTGGAATTCCCCTTGCCCACTTAGTGGGGGAGTAAAGTCAACTGTTTGTAAATCCAGACTGGATGAGTTCCGGACTTTCGTGGAGTATGGCTTATGATCCCTTCAATCCAGACCTGGATGTTGCCTCTTAGACTTCTTCAGGTTGATCAGAATGATTGTCCACTTTGGTGTTGCTTTTTTTTCTTTCATAAATTCGGTGGTTTGCAACACATCATTCTGTGGTTACTGGTAGGGATCCTATCACAAAGATATATATATATATATCTGCAGTCCAACTGCCCTGGCCACCAACGTGGGATATGGGTACCATGATCCCTTAAATCCAACCTGTGTTGTGGAACCTTGGCTGTTTGGTTGGAGCTGGACCATCACACTTGTATTATATTCCACCCTTTTCAATTTTCTGTAGTTCTGGGTGAAGAGCATACCTGTTCTGTATGTAGTGCGGTGTTCCCCACTTTGATACCACTTCTCATGGTACATATTTGTTCTATGCAGATGCTTTCTGTATAATCTCTGTCCTCACCAGCCCCTCTGCCTTTTCAATGTGGGATTCTAGCTACTAATATCAGCGGAAGTATGTACGTTTGGAAATACATTTCCAGTTTAAGAAAATGATAACTTTTGTACCTAACAATACAGCCCACATGTTTTATTTTTTCCAGGGTAGCAGCAACCCACAGTCCAATTATATTTATAGGTACTGGTGAACATATAGATGATTTTGAACCATTCAAAGTCAAACCTTTCATCAGTAAACTGCTAGGCAAGTACTACTATCAATAGGTATACTTTGATATCAAAATTTTCTTTTTTGTACAACTTGCTAAGGAAAAACCACTTACTGTGCAGAAATATATATTTTAAATCAAATGCAAATATAAAAGTACTGATTATAGTACTGTATCATGCTTTTGTTTCAGTATAAGCATAAAGTATAAATATATCTTTCACAATGTTAGGAAAATACATAGGTTCAAAACATTTATTTAACACAAAAATAAAACCTATAACCTAAGAGCCTTTGAAAGGTGAAACCTTTCTTTGGGCCCCTGATGAACAAAGGTTCAGTTCACCTTTTGAAAGCACTTGGGTTATAGGGTTTTGTATTTTTGTATGAATATATCTAACATTGGAGAAAGAAATACTTTCAGCTGGGGGCGGGGAGTTAATCCTTTGGTGAGAGAATATACTTAGATATAGATAATTGATATTGATATTAGCTTAATTCAGCTGCTATAATGGAAGAATTATTGTAATATTTAACTTATCAAAAAGACATGAATGCATGTTGATTTTTTTGTTATAAAAATTAGTTATTTTCAGGTTCATCATGTATTTGTAACATATAAAAGCAAACTTTTTGCTTGTGTAACTCAGTTTTCGAAATACATTTGTGTATAGATTGATAGATAGAGATATATATAGATATAATAAATAGTGAATTATCAAAAAATGGTCCAGGCATGCCATAGTGGTTAACGTGCTGGACTGTGAATCTGAAGGTCCATGGTTTGCATCTGGTTCCTGCAAAACGAAAATCATGGTGAACACTTTAGGACTGCGAGTGTGTTATAAGAGCATCGGTCAAGAACTGTATACTATTAAAGTAGCCGAAGAGTTGGTGGTGGGTACTTTTAACTAGCTGCCTTCTTTCTAGTCTTTTGGTTCAAAATTAGGGATGGCTAGCTCAGTTATCTCTTGTATAGCTTTGGACAACTATAGAAAAAAACAAGTTAAGATTGTACAGATGCTGAAACCATAAAAAGTACAATTTTAACGTGTTTAAATTGGTTCTTGTTAAGGCATGATTCTCATCCCTGAGTTGTTCATCCAATATTTATTGTCTTCTTACAGCTGTTGCTGTTTTGAACTGAACACATAATAAATTAGTAGTCATTAATGTTTTTCTTGCTTGATGAAAATGTGAATAAAGAAAATATGCCTTAACATTTCCAAAGAGTGATATTTAATGCAAAATAAGAAATGTTTGGATCTTTATTTGAGCACTTTTTAACATATATGTCATTCAAATTAATTTTAACATTTTAAAGATTATTATCCAAACACCATGCAAATTGTACTAAGGGTTTAGAGAAACTCGCCATGGTACATCATATTTTTGACTTTATTTCAGGGAAATTGTTCAATTCAATAATCACTGAAGTACAATACTCCTAAGTATCAAATTATCTACATGTAATCATCCACTAAACTTTCTTTTAAAAAGTTTGTGTAATTACTTGTATGTATTTTCACATTAAACAAGATTTCTAAAATATAACCTTTACTCTCATGTCTTACTGACTTTGACACTACTTTTCATCAGGTATGGGAGATATTGAAGGTTTAATTGACAAAGTGAATGAGTTGAAGCTAGATGATAATGAAGAGCTGATAGAAAAGTTAAAACAAGGTATGGTTAAACTTTATGGATAAAGTATAGTTCATCATACTGTTAAAATTCTTTAAAGAACTTTGTCCTTTAATTTTTTTAGAGAGAGGTTGAAGTCGTATAATTAAAGTTAAGTTTTGTTTTTAAGAACTGAAAATGCAAATATCTTTGTTTTATGGGAATTTTGAAAAGGCAAATACTGCTATTTTAAAATTTAAACAAACTATAAAAACTTGTATAGAATGAAGGATATTTAAATTATTAAATAATGAGTTGGTTAAACTTTGTGCAGGTGCATATCTTGTTTCCTCTATTTTCTGTACCATGATTTTTAGATCATATTTTCCTTTTATAAAATCTGTCCCTCCCCCCAAACTTTCCAGTTGAGAAACTGTAAACATTTAGATTTAAGTACTTTAGTTCTTTGAGATAATAAATTGCTGTTAGTTTGAATATTATTCAATAAACTAAAATCCTTTTTTTATATATTTACTTATTTTGAGTTTGTAAGCATAGAAATATATCTTTATTTTACAGTTTCTAGTAGAAAGATTTTTTTCTCTTAAAAACCTAGAATCAATTAAATAATTTACTTGAATATTTATGTGACTTAAGTTTAAAGTAAAAAATAGTTTTGATGAATTGAACAACGTATTAGTATGTGTGTGGAGGGTGAGGGGGACAGTCATTGAAAAAAGTTTTTCCAAAAGATCTTCCAACTACCACTCAATAGCTCAAAATAACAAATCTACCTCCAAAACAATTGTTATTGGGTTACTAAACTTTTTTCATATAAGTAAAATAAACTGCTCGTATTAAAAAAGTTGAAACAAAAAAATATATTTAATTTTTAGTTAATGTCATTATCTTACTGCTATGGCCAAAAACTACTGTTGCTGCTATAGATTTTCATATACTTTTTAGGTGAGTTTACTATCAGAGACATGTACGAACAGTTTCAAAATATAATGAAAATGGGGCCATTCAGTCAGATTATGGTGAGATTTGTTACTAATATTTCTAACAGTAGATTAACTATTACATTTGCATGTATCTTTAATGTTGGCATTGTTTTTACTTTTAATTGATCTTTGTTTATGTTTGAAGAAACTGGTCAAAAATCCACCCCTTCCCAAAAAACAAGTTGTGGTGAATTATAATTATTTCAGGCCAATAAAACTTAGGTGTATTCACTAACTTGAACTGAATAATTTAAAATATAAACATATCTCATTATAGACAAAATTATTATTACCCAACATTATTAGTTTAACTGTTTCATCAGAGTTTGATTTAATTGTTAATGTAATATTCATCTATTTGTATTCAAATCTTATAGGGGAATGTTTCTAAGATTCCATTATTTAAATTATTTGACCCATAAAAACAAAGTTGCATGATAATAAATACTGACCGCTTTGTCAATTCTCAAACTTATGTTTGTTTGTAGGGTATGATTCCAGGGTTCAGCAGTGACTTCATGACGAAAGGAAATGAACAAGAATCTATGGCTAGACTTAAGAAACTAATGACCATAATGGATAGCATGAATGACCAAGGTGAGTATTGTATTGTATTGACCATATTGAATGACCAATAAATCACTTTAGTAGTCATGATGGACAGCATAAATTACTAGAGGAAATATTTTTGTACTATAATGGACAGAAAAAGTGACCAAGGTTTATATATATTTTTTGTGACTATAATGTTCAGCATAGAGAACAAGGGTTAATCTTCACACAAAAAATTAAATGCTGGATAAAATATTGAGAATGAATGTTTTTTTGTGGAGTTTCTGATTTAATTGTCCCCATGTTTTTATTAGGTTATAAGTAAGGTCAGAATTTTCCTTTATTTTTATCCTTTTGCTACTCCTTGAATTGGAATTAGGCTGTGTTTATTTTAAAGGATATATGTGGTAAAAATAAAGTGTGGCATGGGTTACTGAGTAGGTTTAGTTAGTTTGGATATGAAATGTTGTATTAATACATATATTGTTTTTTCAGGTAAACCCCTGAAAGATTTGTAAACCACCAGAAATAATTGAAACCTCTGAATTTGGAAAAGTTTAAACTAACCAACCATATATAGTTAGATCCACACAATATGATTTATATCTATTTTAAATTGTTTTATAATGATGATCAACTGATGGTAAATTAGCTGGTGTGCTGTATACCTAAATGTGTGCTTTCTGTGATTTTTTAACATTTTCATATGTGTGACTGTAATAACGAAGTTCTGCCTGTAGACTATCATTCAGCAACAGTGTTGGCATCCTTTACTGTCTTATTATACTTAGTTATCCCTTTTGTGAAAGGCTAGGTATGAAATACATGATTTCGTATACACATTTGCACATCTTAAATATTTATACTGTAACGTTTATTGCAGTACGTGCATCTTCACAAGATTTGGTACACTTTTAGTAAACATTACAAGTCTTTTGTACACAAAAAATCAGAATTTTTAATGAATTGTTTTTACTAAAGATTTGTTTGTGAAAACATCAAGTCTGTTTCACTACTAGTTGAAGTGTGAAGTGGTTTTCATGTTATGATTAAAAAACTATTCTTTGTCCCCAAAACCTCAAATATTATTTGTGTAATCTCCAAAACCTCCTAAGTACGTTTAAAACATTTGTTTTTAGTAAAACTTTATATTTTGTCTGTTATTTTCTCTACCCTAACTATACAGGGTTTGTCAATTTGACTGACCTCGTAACCACCATAAAAAATTAGGAAATAAATATAAATTATGCTTTTTTAATTCTAGAATGACTACATGAAAACACAAATGTTTAGTCTAAATAGCTTAAATCTCATAACATTATACATTTATATATATTTATTATTTTTATTATATTGATTTTCCAGTCATGCCTGGCTAATATTACAGAAGTTACAATGATTCAGCACACATGCACTCATGTTACCATATCCAAGAAAATAAAACTGACCTTTATAAAGTGACCTGTCTTGGCTGTGTTTTAGTGGATTAATATTTTGTAAAATACAGTCACATTTCATTTATAATACATTATATATGTATATATATTATTACTATTTACAAATAAGTTCTTTAAGTTATTTTTCTTAAAACATAAAGCAATAAATAAAGAAGTGTAGCAAACTATAATCTGTACTAGTTACGAACTTTGAACAAATTTGCTACTTGCCATAGGTTGCTTAGCCTTATCAAATTTCTCACATGGAGGATGTGAAACAAAATAATTTTTTTAGGTTTTATATATACATTTGAAATAACCAAAAACCATAAATTACTACAACAGTACCATAGAATACGACTAAAATTTATCATATTTAGTAACTAAGCTGTATTTGGGTCTAACAAAATATTAAATTTCGAGCCGATTAAAGACTTAACTTACCAGCTTTAATTCTTAAATCGAAAGAATGAGGTGATGTCATAATACTTCAAAATGGCTGAGAAAGCCACTAGGGGGACATTCTGAGCTTTCAGTTGGTTATTCACATATCATAGGCAGAAGTATGTGTACATAAGGAATTGTTTCCAAAAATGGAATAAGGTGGGTGGGATCACTGTGTGTGTTTCAGTACATGTGCGATATCTCAACAAGTAGTAAAGATAGGAGGTTCTTATTGTATATTCTAGCTTGTCAATATCAGCAATTTGCTTTCCTAATTTGTATGAACCTATAGACTTTGTATTTGGACATCACAAACATATAATTTGAAAAAATGCTACATTGAATATGCCATGTGACACACAAAAATTGATATTTAGGTGTGTTCTTTTAATATTTACTTTTAATTTAAGAAATTGACTAATGTATAATACTAAAATTTAACTTATAATCTACAATTTGATACCAAACTTATTGACATAAATTCATAAAATAGTAGGTCAATAAAATTTTGAATGCAAATCAACAAACGAGATGACATGGCCTTTGACCCGTGACCCTTGGAGATAGGGTTATAGTAGGACAGCAGCTATTTTGTCCAGTTGTGTTTTTCGTGACTCCTTAGTGCTAACAAATTCTCTACATTTAATTTTGTCTGGAAGTTACATTTGCAGTGAGAAAAAAAACACAACATACTTTTAATTTAGTAGCTGAATAATTCACAATGAAATTGATATAATAATTACTCTATAACTATATATATATATATTCATTAATAAGTAAGTGTATTAAACATTGTATGACCAAATTTATGTTAATTTATGTTTAAAATTGTATACGTACATAAGTATGTGTTTGTGTATGTATATATATATATATATATATATATATAACATTTTATAAACATAGACATCATATGTTTAAATTGGGGGCCCAATTTTTATCTGGCTTAGCAATTAAAGTTATATTGCCAACAGTTTGAAATTATGCACCGTAATGTTGTTAATTATGCAGAAAAAAATAGAAATTATGCATTGATTATGCATCGAAATTTAAGAGTATGCAGCTCTTACCTAAACAGCATAAAATAATATAATTTAAGAGGATGTTAGATGTAGTCAAATGCAACTGCACCATCAACAACAATTTTACTTTTTATGAAATAACAAACACACTTTTTTAGTATTCATATGTAAGTATAAATTTTTTATTGTATCAACATATATATTAAATTGCAAAAATTCAATATTAGGAAATGCATAAATAGGCATCTACCAACTTTTTAAGTTAACTTTCTAAGAAAAATATAATAATAAGTCTAATATGTATATAAACAAAATTGTTAATTTATTCCTGTATGTGTTCAAAGTTGCTGATATCTTGTTACTCTGTCTGTTCTGATATAGCTTTTATCTCAGATTTTATTTTGTATTAAATTTGAAGAGAATTGCCCTCCAGTAGCACAGTAGTAGGTCTGCAGACTTGCGACACTAGAAACCAGGTTTTGATACCCATGGTGGGCACAGATAGCCCATTGTGTAGCTTTGTACTTAATTACAAACAAATTGAAGAGAATATTTTCTGGTTGCTGATAATGATGACTTTCTCAGCTTTTATTATGATAAGTGTTGTAATTATTTTTCTCCTTTTTTTATGGGTGGGTCTAATGTCTTTTACTTTCAAACAGTTTGCATGTAAAAATATTTGTGACATATATGTTTTCAAACTAATGAACATAAGCAAGATATTCTTTATCAATTTATCTCATCCTTTTAGAACTTGACCACAGAGAAGGAGCCAGATTGTTCACTAGACAGTCTGGGAGGGTGATACGTGTAGCTAGAGGATCTGGTGTTACATCACGGGAAGTGCAGGAACTTTTATCTCAGTATACCAAGTTTGCTGCTATGGTGAAGAAGATGGGAGGAATCAAAGGCCTATTTAAAGGTAATGGACAAATCTGTAGAAATCGAATGTAAAAGTAAAAAAATGTTTTCTTTTTGACAGTACTAATGTTTCAGCTGAAGAAACTAAAACCACTAATTAGTTTATACCTACATCACATATTGTGAAAAATTCGTACAGTTCATCAGTTGCATTAAGAGATATTGACATAACAAGTTAGTTGCTAAACAAATCATGTTTCTTATAGCAATTCATTATGCAAATTCATTATTTTGAAATTTTTACTTTAAAATAAAGTATAACATGCATGATATGCTTGCATACCACAGGAGCACATGGTAACTGCTTGTGTAGCTAGCTAAGTATTGGCCAACCATTACAGCAATTCTAGTTTGATCTCATGTAACTGTGTTTGTTATATGTGAAGAAAACATTTTTACATGTTCAGAAACAAATTTTGGAAGATCTCCAAATCAGCCCCCTCTCCAGAAGTTGGATAAATATATGCACAAATATGGAAATTATCTTAAAAGACCAAGAATTCACCAATAAATTTGTGATAACAATATCCTGTTTTGTAGGTGGTGATATGGCCAAGAATGTGAATCAAGCACAGATGGCCAAACTTAACCAACACATGGCAAAGATGATTGATCCTAAAGTTCTACAGCAAATGGGTAAGATAATGTCATTAGGCTTAACTAGTAGATAGACTTAACTAAAACATTATTCTAGGCAGATAAAATAATATTATTAGATGAAAATAGTATTCCAACTTATCATATCAGTTCGATAAGATAGCGTCATTAGGCTTAACTAGTAGAAAGACTTAACTTAAACATTACTCTAGACAGATACAATAATATTATTAGATGAAAATAGTATTCAAACTTATTACATCAGTTCGATAAGATAGTGTCATTAGGCTTAACTAGTAGAAAGACTTAACTTAAACATTACTCTAGAGTGATACAATAATATCATTAGATGGAAATAGTATTTCAGCTTCTTACTTTAGTTGGGTAAGGCAATATCATTAGGCTTAACTAGTAAAGTAGACTTGATTAAAACATTAGTTAAATAAAATAATATATTTAGAAGTAACAGGGTTTATCCACTGGAGGAGGCAGCCGCCCCTTTTTGGAGAGTTTTGCCACCCCAGCTGCTTCCTAGTTTAGATATAGGGATTAAAACTAGTGTATTTTAGCTTTATAATCCTTTAAGGAGACTTAAGTTTGAGTACACAATACTGAAAGCATGGTGTTCTGCCTGTAACATCAGTGTTGTGCTTACTGTTGGGCCTATGACATTACAACATTTCCTAACTAATCAATACTTAATCATGGACAGCAATATAAGTTTAGATTCCAAAACAGGCTCACCTTCTCTCACACATAAGCTATCTCAATCGTTGTCTGCCCTCTAAGCATTGCTAAAAGAATTTTTAGTAATCAGTGCACCAGTTTCGTACCATTTCTGAATATATAAATATCATGTGACTACTCTCAACCAATAGTATTGAGTCACGTGTAACGGAACAGCTAGCCCCCCCTGCTATTCCCACCCAGTCCTCACTTTCTCAATTGACATGAAACAGTTTAGACGTGTTTAATTTTCCAAGTGTGACTACAGTTTTTGATTGTGCTTTGTTGCTGCTTCCAACAAAGTTTTTCTGACAAGTTCTAATTTTAGTGCTTGATTTCGTTTTCTTCCATGAATTTCCATTTGAAATTTTCTTGTTCCCAAATTTTACATATTTTGTATGAATTTGAGGTCTCCTGTGGTGGAAAATGATATTACCGCAACAGACAACAATGCACATTGCATGACTTCCCAGGACAAGGGATCGACTTTATCTGCTGAGGAAGTACATGCCTTGGTTTGTAGGGAGTTAGAGTCTTACATTCAGCCGGTATTTTCTTCTTCTTTTCAACATGACACTGTTTCTGAGGAAGAAGACATTCATTGAGTTGCCACTTTGGTCTCTCCTTTTTCAGGCACTTTCCCCCAGTTGGCAGCATACACGTCTTTCAGTCGGGAGAGACTTGTTATTCTCCTTCTTTTTTCCTCTAGCTTCAAGTTCTCCCAGGAAATTTGTGATAAGTTTTTCAAAATGTACACTTCACACCAGGTTGATGTATATGTGGTATACCTGGTTCTGATGCCCTTTGTGCGACTTTGCCCTTCTTTACACGTGGGAGACTTGCATATTTTATGTCATCAGTACTGGGACTTTGGTAAGTTAGATATTTAGGTGTACTTTGTTATCTATGTTACTTTAGTTGAACTGTACATTAGATATTGATTATTACTTTGTAATTTCTGTAAATTTAATCATTATGCATGTTCATTAATTTTACGTATTTTTTTAATTCATTATTAATAAGTATTTTCCCTAGGTATGTTTCGATTGTGTGTTTGTTACATATCTTAACTACTTGTAACATCTAATTTGTTGTTCTGTTTGTGTAATTTTTTCTCATCGTTGTTAACTATGTGCCTTCTCCTCTCCATTTTTTGTCAGCATGTGACTTAATTCAGTGTTCCTTGTCGTCTAGGTTATTTTCGATGTATAGTAAATTAGTTATTGCTTAATCATGTGTTTTCTAAATAATTTTCTTTGGTTTGCTCACTCATTTTTATTACATATTTTGTGGACTAAGTACATTTAAATGGTTTGTCCATTTCCTATTTGTAAGTACTTTATTAACTTTGTATGCTTGATAGTTTGTACCGTACTTATCATTACTACTAGTAACGTATAATTATTGTGTTTTCTCGATAATTTCTGTCAGTTGGCATGTTCGTTATTTTTACATTCTTTGTGGACTATAAAAATTTTGATACTTTGCCCATTTGTTGTTTGTCAGTCTTTTGTTTACTGGGTATGTTTTGATAGTTGGTACATTAGATATCATTACTACTAATAATACATATTCATTGTTGTACCTGAATTTTTTCATGAGTGTTCAATTTTGCCATTCCTTCCTAATTTTCATCAGTGTGGGTCTTAAAATTTTGCCTATTTACATCACTGATGTGTTTGTTTCTTTCCCATTTGTAAGGCTGAGATTAACTTTGGTTCCTTTTACTATGTTTGTGATCCTAGACAACTCTTTATATGTTTTGTCAGGGATACAAACTTTTGCCTGACTTTTTGACTCTATGAGTCTTGGATTATTCCTTTTCTGGTTTGACTGGCTCCTGCTTGCTTCCTCCCATTCTCAGTCCAAAGTTCACACTCCTCTGCTCTTACAAGATGCAGAATAGCTTAGTTTCCTTATGACAAGGGAGAGTCCTTTCTGACCCCCTCTCAATACCCTATTCATTTGGGGGGGTCTTCTTTCCAACTGCAGTTTGGCCCAGCCTCCTTCTCTTTGTCTTTGTGTTTGGAGCAAGCAGTTGACACGTCCCTCTCCTTTCTTATGGCTCGATATGTTCTATCTCTTTGGGGATGTGGACTTCCTTGAAAGCTCTTATTCCCATGGGTGAGACTCATATGCATTCCCTTTGGTGAATACTCCTTGATCAGTGGAACTTCTCCTCAAATCCCTGGCTTGGTGGTTGCTTACTCCACCTCATCCAGATTTATGTCTGTTCCTATACTCATCTTTAGGAGTTGAGGTTCTTACCTCAACTCCCTGGAGATTTCTGGTCTCTGGTCAATTAAGGAATCTTTCTCCATATCACCTTTCTCGAGCCTTTGGTGGTTCGTTGAGCCTTGTCCCACCTCCTTCCTCTCCTATGAAGGGTGATGGTTATGGTACATTCCCACCTCTCCACTTTCGTCACTTATACCACTAAGCCAGGGGGTACATGTTCCCGGTCTCTGTGCTTTCAGATATTGGGTCTCTTTTTTTGAGCCCATTGTAATCACATTGTGGTCTTCATTTCCCTTTTTTTGGCTCCTTCAATATGGTGGTTTGATTATCTTCAAACAAGATTCTCGTCACAAAGTGGTCCCTCGTTCCACAGATTTCGCCTCTCTCTGTCTTCATGCATGGTTTTATCTTGTCTATTGTCTCAGCCCGGGGTCTGACTCCATGTTTTGCATCCCTCCTTCCTGATCCATGATACCTGTTCATTCTGGGGAGTCATTTTCCACTTGGTTTGTTCTTTGTGCACCTACACCGGCCCTCCAACTTTCCAATATGGGATTCTAAGCTTTTGTGTGAATGGAAGTAAGTCCATTTCGAAAGTTAACATTTTCTTACACTTAAAATGTATTTCCAATAGTTACTTGCCTCTTTTCACACCCTTTCTTTCCATTAAAACTGATGTTTTTATTCTAGTACCTGCCAATTCTTGAAAGTGAGGATTCAGTGGATATACAAGAAGGAGCTAGCTGCACTATTATATTAGGTCTTCAAGAAATTAATGTTGCTTTTTTTAGATTGAAAAAACCCCAAACAACTTGTATATCAAAACAAAACATTAATTAAATTAAATAGTCTCCATTCTTATCGATGATGCTTTCCATATTACAATC